CAAAAGATGTGGTCACACTGCGGGGTGTTGGAAGCGACGGGTGAACCCTGACTGCGGGACCGCCTGCTGCCTGTCGCAGGGCAGAGCAGGTCCTCCGATGGGTGTGCACGCAGCTTGAACAGTCTCCATTACCAACTTCTGTTTATCGCGGACCCCAGGGCTCAGGAGGTGGGCGAGGAACTCACAGAGTCCCTTCAAAGCCCTTTGCCGACTCCTCAGGCCTCTGCCCAGTCTCCTCACAACAGGTTCTCCGTACAGTTCCCTCCCACAATATGAACCCCAGCCTCGAAGGCCCCTGCCCCATCCCGACATCTCAGGTGGATCTGGCCGCTGGATCTCGGCCCAGTCTCCTTCCTCACAACAGCTCTCGTGCCCTGCTCGGTGGCCAGATCCTCATCAGACCTTCTATCCCGTTTCTCCCCAGGACAGAGTCAGGACTTGATGGGGGTGGGTGGGGGTGGGCTTTCAATTTCTGCGGACTTTGTCTACCCCATCCCGCCCGCTCCATCCCAACACCTGCCCACCCATCTCAGCTCAAGGTCTACCTGCAGCGGAGCTGTTCTGACACATCAATTCATCTCTACCCTCCTACTCTTGCCTGCCCTGAACCTAGGCTTCTCTAGCCCTCTCCTGTTCACAACCTTCCCTCTTCACCCAGCCCAGCCTGTCTTTATGCAATTCCCCAATCAAGGAATCTCTCCCCTTCATGCTGGCCACTCCACTAGCTACTTATTGGCGGTATCTCCTTTTCTCTGGACACCCCCAAAATTGAGTCCTTCATCTGTCACCCCCAAAGATGGATTTTCTAGCACCATTCTCAATCAGCTCATGACTTACCCATCTGCTCCATTAAAAACAAACAAGTTTATTTAGTACAGTTCAAAGTAACCAAGGAGCAACCTGCTTGGGATATGTTGTTGTCATTGTTTTGGACAGGTTCTCCTGTGTCTCAGGCGGGCCTCAAACTCCTGATCCAGTCTGTCTCCCTTCCTGAGGGAGGCATTATACACACACACACCACCATGATCCATTTATCGTGTTTTCTCTGTCTAGTATGATGTTGCCTCGTGATTTGTTATATATAGCATCCATTATGTTGAGATATGCTCCTTTTGCTCCCAAAGTCTTTGGGCCTTTACCATGATGGATCTTAGATTTTTGTCTGTGGCCTTTTCTGCATTTACTGAGAGAATCACGTGATTTTTGTCCTTGAATGTGTTTAATGATTTGTGTATGCTGAACTGTACCCAGGATCTGGAATGAAGCCAATTGGAGCACAGTGAACAGAGATCTTTTTTTTTTATATGTTCTTGCATTAAGTTTGTAGTACTTCATTGAGAATTTTTGTATCTGTATTCATCAGAAAGATTGGCCTGTCATTTTCTTTTTATGTGTTTTTGTCTAATTTTGGTATCAGAGTAATATTGGTCTTACTGTAAGAGTTTGAAAGCATTTATTCATTTTCTCCTTTGAGGAATAATTTAAGAAGTGTTGGTGGAAGTTCTTTCAAGTTTGGGTAGAATTTGGTAGGAAATCCCTTAGACCTGAACTTCTTTTAGTCAGGAGGGTTTTTAATACTGCTTCAATCTTATTGCCCATTATAGATCTGTTGAAATTGTTTGTTTTGGCTTAACTTTGGTAAGTCATATCTAGAAGTCCACCCTTTTCTCTTAGATTTTACAACTTAGTGGAATGTGTGTGCACTGGCTACTTTCCTCGTTCTGATACAAAGGACCCGGCAGAACAAGTTAGGAAGAGAGGAAGGGGCCTTTTTGGCTCATCCCATTTTTTTTTTTTTTTTTGAGGCTATACAGACCATCATTGACTTCAGGAGAGTTAGTCTTTTATTTTTCTACAAATATTTTTCTCTATTTGTTTGTTCGAGATGATTTGTGTAGCTAGAGTTTTCCTGCCTGGCCCACAGTCAGGACAAATCTCTGTCACCCGCCAGTCCCGCAGCATCTCAGACCCAACCAAGTAAACACAGAGACTTATATTGGTTACAAACTGTATGGCCGTGGCAGGCTTCTTGCTAACTGTTCTTACAGCTTAAATTAATCCATTTCCATTAATCTATACCTTGCCACATGGCTCATGGCTTACCGGCATCTTCACATGCTGTTTCTCATCATGGCGGCTGGCAGTGTCTCTCTGACTCAGCCTCCACTTGCCAGTTTTTTCTCCTCCTTGTCCCGCCTATACTTCCTGCCTGGCCACTGACCAATCAGTGATTTATTTATTGACCAATCAGCAACACATTTGACATACAGACCATCCCACAGCAGATTTGTCTATTGGTGTGAGTGGGTATTAAATTCACCCACTATTATTGTGTTGGGAGAAGTGTATGACTTTGTCTGTGTGCTCCCAGGGTCTGCATATGTATGTTTTAAATTGTACTGACCTCTTAATGGCTTGTTTCCTTAATCAGTATGAAGTGGACTTCTTTATAAATAGGGGAGGTGAATATGTTCATGTGTATTGGTGCACATGTGTGTGCAGGTACATATGTGTGCATATCCGCACACATGTGGAGGCCAAAAGTCAAACTCAGGTGTCACTCTTCAGCAGCTCTCCACCCTGGTTTTTGAGGCAAGATCTCTCACTGGGACCTGGGACTCACTAATTAGCCTAAGGCAGCAAGCCCCAGGGATCTTCTGTCTCCACATTATGGGAAAGCAGACAAACAAAAAACACCAGATCTCACATCACTTCTCTGAAAAGGTCAAGGGAAATCAGAAGCCAGAGCACTCTCCTAACAAGTGGTTCTTCTCTTGGAGAACTTCCAAAGTTTGAAAATATTTTAGGGAGCGATCATCTGTAGGCACTCAAGAGAGATGCCTTACCCAGGCATGGAGACAAGGGATGCTGAACACGTTGTGGAGCTGTGCTTCAGGGGGAAAACCCATACCATTGCATGCTCAGTGTTAGCCTGACAATAGAAAGCAGGTTAAAAAAGAAAACCCCAAGTAGCCCAGGCTGAGAAGAAATCTCCCTTGCAGCCAGAGGGGGTGAATTGAAAAAGAGGATTTCTGTCAGATTTTGGACCCCTTTGTTTTTCCAAACCGACCACAACCATTAGCCAAGACCCCCATTGGCCACCAGTAGATCTAGATTTGAAAACAGTCTAAAGAGCAGCTTTCCATTTCCCAGAAAGGCTGACTGTCAGGGTCGGAGAAGTGGCTCCAGCAGTCCTGTGGTCTCTTCTGCTGAGCTTGAATGTAGTCAGGACTGCTTTGTTATACTGCAGTAACAAACATTCCCACACCTCAGCTACATTACACAAGTCTACTTCTCACTCATGCTGTTTATCCAGGATGGGGGCTCTTGACATAGTTGTCATACAAGGTCACAGGCTAACTTAGGCTTCATTTCAACATGAATGCCTTAGGTTCAGCGTGATTGTTTATTGGGAAGAAAAGAGAAGTGAGTCACAGGGTGGCTCCCCTCTACCCACCCACCTGGAGCAGAGCACTGGACGCAAGCTAGGTCCAGGTATAAGTCACACAGGACTGTAGTGTGGGACTCAGGGGACTAAGCAGCACCCCCCACACCTAGAGTGAGGGGAGATGAAGGCACTGGTGCATGCCTGGTGCACAGTAGGCACATGAGGTAGATGGCCTTGTAACATACAACATCTGGCTGCAAACAGGAGAAGAGATGAAGAAAGTGCAGACTGGAGGGTAGCTCGGCGCTAAGGGGCCTGCAGACTGGAGGGTAGCTCGGCGCTAAGGGGCCTGCAGGCTGGAGGGTAGCTCGGCGCTAAGGGGCCTGCAGGCTCGAGGGTAGCTCGGCACTAAGGGGTCTGCAGGCTGGAGGGTAGCTCGGCGCTAAGGGGCCTGCAGGCTCGAGGGTAGCTCGGTGCTAGCATGCATGGAGTCCTGGATTCCACCCTCAGCACACTGGGAAGGAGGAAGAAGAGGAGGAGGAGGAGGAGGCATGGAGAAAACTTGAAGTCATTTAACCCAATGAATGGCTTGAGTGAGTCTCCGATGCCCTCTTTCTCAGGAGGAAACAGTCATGCCACTTCTGTTGTCTGTGATGATGGATATCCCACAGAAGGAGGCTGTTACCAAAGCCCTGGCTGTAGATGTAACCGTCTTATGAAAATAGAAACATAGAGCCAAATGCAGAGTTGAGAGCCCAAGAGGTCAGAGCAATAGCTAAGAGCTAAAAACCCTTTCTTGCCCTTCACTGCCGCTCCTGTCCTTCCCCTCAGCAAGAGGTCTACTTCCTGTGTGTCTGTCTTTTTATTGACTTTCTGTTCTGCCTTCTCATTGGTTGTAAACCCAACCACATGACTTCCTCGTCACTGCCTGTCTATACAGACATCCAGGTCTTCTATGGTTGGCATTGAGATTAAAGGCGTGTGTCTCCACGCTGGCTGTATCCTTGAACACACAGAGATCTGTCTGCCATGTGATCTGGATTAAAGTGTGTGCCACCACCGCCTGGCTTCTGCTATGGCTTGCTATTAGCTCTGACCCCCAGGCAACTTTATTTATTAACATACAAATAAAATCACATTTCAGTACAGATAAAATATCACCATACCTGGCCTCCAAAGGAAAAGAGACAAATCTGGCCAAGAAGTCAAGGCTGTTGCCGCCACCTTCAGACCCATCCTTTGTGAATGAGACCAGGTCTGAACCAGAGCGGGGTCAGAACCCACTTCAAACTTGTAGACCAACATGCCCTTGACCTGGTAGGAGGGAAGGATGCTCAGATGTATTCAGGATCAGTTCTGAAGAAGGAAGCATGACTGTGGTGGACATGTTCTTTGACAGCCCCACATAAAGCATACATACACCCCCTTGTGACCAAGTGACTTGCTCTGGACAACTGGACAATGGTAAGTATGACATAGGTAAAGGCCTGAGAAGTTCCTGTGTGGCAGGATGCATCTTCTTGGAATGTGCTACCGAGAAAGGCCAACACCATGCTTTGCTGGGCCAACACAATTCCTTACTACACTCTAAATCTTATCCTCATACACATAGGTACATGAAGCTACCAGCCCTCGCCAGAGAAACCTCTCTTCACAGCCTATGGAGACCATCATAGAAAACCACAACTGGACACAATGCAGGGCTCAGTGGCTCCTGAGGAGCCCAGCCCCAATTTGTACATCTACACCACTCAGAGAACATCACGGAGGAAGAGATGGAAATATTGCAAGAGCCAGAATCCCAAGAAGCCTGCTGTTGAAAAGTCTCTCATAGAAACGACTTCATAAAGAAGACCAGAGCCCAGAACCTTGGCAGTATCAGTGGATACATTAACATGGAAGGAGGGACTTTTCTAGGGGTCCCACCCCTACACAGACAACTTGCAACTGGTGGGGGAAGGAGACTTAGCCTCTCCCAGGCATGAGTTCCCTTATTGGCTAATCCCAAAGACTTGAGGAGAAAGACCACTAACCCAAATTATGGCCAAATTAAAGCAAGCTATATTTGTGTACGTAAGATCTGGCTGGTGGCTGACTCTTCCTAAGGCAGAGTTCAAGAAATCAGCTCTGAGCCAATTTCTCAGGCTCCTTTTATAGGGCAAAACCATAGGGTGGGGAGCAAGCATGGTTACAGAAGCAAGACCAGGCAGTTAACACTAAACCAAGCAGTTAAGGGAATCTTCCTAGAACGTTTGTTTCAGAACATTCTATGGTTATGGGGTTGGGGTGCAGCCCAGCTCTGATGAACAGAAACTCGTTTTACAGTAGACAGGAACTTAACCAAACTAGAGATTCAAAATGGTCTCTCATTTGTCCAATGCAGAGTGGTCAGCCTTGAAACCATATACACACAACAAAAACAGACTCAGTAGGTTGTATATACATACATACATATATGCATGTAACAATAAAAAGGCTATCAACTTGGGGGAACATGGGAGGGGCTAAAGGGAGACAAGGGAGGGGCCTTTATAATAAAGGCAATCAGGACAGCTGAATGGTGATCAATCAAGAATAAGATATGTGAGTCCCAGCTGAGTGTCACCACAGTGAGCAGCCTCAGCTACAACACATGGGTTAGTCCCCGGGAGAGTCCAGTCAGCTCCCCAGATTGAGATCAAGGGTAAATGATCACTGTTTGAACTGAGTCTGTGTTAGGGCCAGTCAGTAAATGCCTGGCACTGTGCTTCCCATTTGGACAAGATATGTGTGCAGTTATATGAGAATGCCACATGAACAGGACCTAGACACATCCAGCCTTAGACAACAGTGAGATATCCTTCATTTCTGTTTCTGTACCCCAGGTCTGTGCTGGGCACTCCAGACAGAGATGAGTAAAAAAGGTCCTGGGGACCGAGGACAGTCACAGACACATCCATAAGTAAGTTCAGAACTTAAGTGAAATAGCAGATACACAAGTTCAGCTGAGCCTCATGGCCAGGATGACTTTTGAACATGCCTTCAAAGTGTGAATCACTCACTGAGCAGATGGGATTGGGGTTGGCGACCATAGGCATGTGCCAAACAAAAGTGTGAATCATCCATCAGCCTGGCAAAGTTGGCTGCCTACAAGATCTATGATATGGCTAGAAGATTTATATATAGCAGTGTGTGGAGAGAGGGGTAGGGGTGGGCTATTCGAGTTTTTGCAAGCCAGGAGAGCATGAATGCCATCTCTGAGCTTGACAGGGCCCCACAGGCTCAGAAAGGGCTAAGATGTTCCTGTTACTCCAGCTACTCAGTAGAGGGTAGGTCGCAGGGACTGCGTCCACAGGCAGCTGCAAGCTAGAAGTAGCCAACCATCCCACCAGACACCTATATTCCAGGCACTGTTTTGGGTGTTGGGCACAGTTGGGGAGAGAGAGGATAGAGAGAATAGGGTAACCTAGGAAGTCTGAGGTAGAATCAACCATTTCACCCAACTGAGGGATGGCTGGAGGTATTTTCCAGAATGGAACCAGAGGGATATGCGTTTGGAGAGCAGTGGTGAGTTGACTGTGAACAGTGGCAGACATGTTGCTTTTGAGATGCTTGGAAACCATTGAGACCCCTCCCAACCTGTATCTCCATCTATGGCGTGGGTCAGTAAGCCTGGCCATTGGGATCCCTGCTCTGAATGTCCCATCCCAGGTGAGCCCTGTGGTGTGTGTATATGTTTATATTCTGTTCATCCTCTTTTGTGTTCTTAAAAAATATTATTATGGGACAGACAGTGAGTTCCACCCCTCTGGACCTAGTTTGGTCACATTTCAGGGACTTCAAATGCAAAGTGGGGAGTCAGGGGTTAATTGAATTGGAAAGCTAATGATCTTTTGCAGGAATACTGACTGCCAGGCACTCTGTGTCCACCAGCTGCCTGCACTGCCCATGCAGCTGCCACTCCCCCCTCCCTTCCTAAGCCAAGTTCTTCACTGTTGATGACTGAATATAACTTACAATGCAATGTTACTCCATTGTCATAACACCTCCCTCCACCAAGGTTCTCGCCGCTGCTACCTTACCACCTTAACCCCTTCCTGTCCCGACACTGCCTAAAAATCTGCTAAATTAAACCAGCCTATATATTTTAGGATGTCTTGGCTTCAGACTAAAATTCAAAAATATATTATGTTCAGGAAAAATTATACTTTTGTTTCCATGTGGGGGGGAATATGCTTTCCTTCAAAATTGATAAAGATAAGATAGATGGGTTTTGGTCATTCAGATTCGATGGGTTATAAATATTTGTCATCATCTAAGGGAATTGGTTACAAATTATTATTATTGATCATGGTAAGAAAAAACTAATACTAGTCTCAAATATTTCACACTGGTATGAATTTTTATATTAATACATTTATATTAATTTATTATATATTACATTGTATATTAATATATATTAATACAAATTTAAGGCTATTTTTGTTATTTTATATATATATATATGTATGTATTTCTACTCTTGTTTAAGGTGTTATACCTATAAATATGCTAGACTACTGAAGTCACAACAAGGACTTTGGTGAAAGTTTTAGTGTTATCTGGAAAGCAAGAAAAAAAGCAGGAGACTAAAATAGTACAGTAAAGAAAAGGAAAAGAGGAGTTTGTTTAAAGAAAAATGTCTGGCTGAACCAGAGGAATGGAGCTAGGAAAGGCCTGACCTGAGGGTATATAGGAAGTCGTAGAAGGCCGGAGGGGTGTGATCTGTATTTGCTTTGGTTTCTCCTACCTGCAAATACTGAATTTAAAAAGAAACTGTAAAATGTGTTGGAAATTTGACCATATTAGGTTAATTCTGGTTGGTTTTCTTCATTTAAAAAAACTCGATGATTCTTCACTGCAAAATGTTTATGTTAGAAATGGGGTCATAAAAAAAAAAGAAAAAGAAATGGGGTCATGCTCTTTAAAGGAGGGAGGAGGACTGAGGTCTCATGTCAGACTCGTTTAAAATATAATGTATAATTACAAATGCAGGTTAATAATTAGTCATCATATTTCAGCCCTCAAGGTTACAGGGTTCTATATGATTGGCCTTATATGAAATGACAAGACTAAAGCTCCTAGCTAGTTGGAGTTCATAAATAGTTCAAACCTGTTTCTTTTTTTTTTTTTTTTGGTTTTTCAAGACAGGGTTTCTCTGTGTAGCTTTGCGCCTTTCCTGGATCTCGCGCTGTAGACCAGGCTGGCCTCGAACTCACAGAGATCCGCCTGCCTCTGCCTCCCGAGTGCTGGGATTAAAGGCGTGCGCCACCACCGCCCGGCTCAACAGATTTTTTTTTTTTTTTTTCAAACCTGTTTCTTAAAAGTTGTCAAGATCACGTCTATGGCCTATAAATGAAAACTACAATCTAACTGCTCCTATAATGTCTAAGGAAATACATATGTCTATGGGTAGGGGAAAATGCTTACAAAATAAAAACAAAACAAATGCAAAACTCTGGACTACAAAAAAAAACTTCTAAAGAAGCCATTTCAGAAAAACATGACTCTAATTTTGTATTTAATATTTAAAAAAAAAATAGTTGCCATCAACTTAATGAATTCTGTAAATGGCAGAATCAAAATCTCAGTCATAAGTTATAATAAGATGTGGAAAAAAAAAGAGCAGGACTTAACTAATGTATCTACAAGGTAATGTGATGGCCTGGTTGTTACCAAACTTAAATAAATATATCTTCAAGATTAAGCCTAAGTTTGTTTGGCTCAGATATATTTAATAGACAATGGTCCTCAAACCTGTCAAAGATCTGATGAATATGGCATTTAAATTATTTGATAAAAAAAAGCTTAATATGATAGACAGAGACTCCCAGCAATAACTCTGAGGTCTCCAAAGAAGATATGGAACACCATGATGACTCTACCTGGACTATTGGTAACACTGACCACTGGGCAAGATGCCCCAGTGCAACACCTATCGCCAGGACCCAGCCCAGACTGTGGACAAAAAGGATACTGGAGAATTGCCTGCCCCACTTTGCCAAAACAAAATAACATTGGTCTTCCCCATGTTCCTCCTCCACAGGAAAAACTCTCACCTTTATGGACCTGGCAGCCGAAGACTGATGCTGTCCTGGTACATTTGCTCCAAGGTTATGGAGACTACAGCAGCCTGGCATGGCTGTCTAGGTAATGGAATAGTCTCTGTCATTTTAACTGATACACAGGCCATTCATTGTTTCATGTAATAATTTATCCTTCTCAGATCTCTGATGGTATTGATGGCCAGGCTAACTATAACTTTGTCAGTTAACAGCAACAGGCAACCAGATTCTTCTATAAGGCTATATCTTTTTGTACCCTCACAAATCGCATCCATATTCCTCAAAACATCTTCTCAGACCCTCATAACCCAAGCCTTTATGTCCTCAGACCCTAAAACTTGCATTGACACACCTCAAGTCTTTTATTTATGTCTTTGTAACTTGCATTTATATCTTAAATCATTTTCTGAGACCCTCAGAATTTATTTAAGCTTTTACATCTTTAGACCTTTATATATTTCAGATGCTTAGAATTTATATAGACTTTCAAATCCTTAGACCTTTATATCTTAAAACATTCTTAGACCCTCAAAACTTGAGAATGTTTTCTTAGACCTTTAAAACTCGCATAGATTTTAATATCCTAGAACATTTTTTTCATCTAATCATTTATCAGAGATATAAGTAGTTATTATTGAGAACAGTCATTGCAAAGTATGTTCCTTTAGTGGAAAGTTATATTTAAAACCTGTTTATTTTTTTCTTTACAGGAAACCTAGCAGCTTAAGAAAAAGCAAGGCTTGATGTTTACATATAAAATGGGCTAACAAGCAGGCCTTAAGGTGTAGGAAAATGTTTTAGATTTCCTTCCCCTTCTATGGTATAGTTATACTAGGATTTCAAAAGTTCAGAGTTTAGCATTAGTAGAGTTCTGATAAGCTGGTAGATCAATGACTACTTATGTTTTAGTTACAAACTCAAGATTTTAGATTTCTTTTGGTTGTCTTCTAAATATAGACTTAAAGATGCTTCTCATCAGGCCAAAGACATCTCTGTCCAATCTATATCTGGCTCTCTGGACAGAAGATTTTTAACCCAAATCTATAGATTTTGCTAGGACTCAAAGGTGTGAGTCTCCTCCAGCTGTTTTACAGACCCCTGTTACCTGCTTTTTCTAAAATATGGATTTCAATACAGATTGGTAATGATAATGTAATCTAAAACTTCTATGTCTTTTTGTAAACTAAAAATTCATAAAAGCTTCAAAAATCTGGGAAGACATAAAACTTGGATCCACCTCTCACAGATCAAAAGGATTCCAGATAAATACAGCCTAAGTTTCCCCACCTGTCTATTCCTCAGGATAGGATCTTTCTCTTCTGGTCTTGGGATTCCTCTACTTCCCAACTAGGACTATGGTCCTGAAGTTCCAAGTATAACATATTTTCCTTTAAGTTCATAAATTTTAACTTCTGTCCTTAGTCTATATTTGTCTCAATAGGTTTCCACTTGGCTGACAGGCACATCCAAGCATCAGTGGATAACTACAACCTGCTCCAAATGATTATGAGCCCTGGACTTGCTGAAAGATGATGTGGACCAGTCCACCCAACGTGATTGCTTCCTGTCTCTACAGCTTGGTTGTGGGAGTCTGCTGGAGTCCAGCTCCAACCTGTTAAAGGGTTCTTGCAGGGAGGAGAGAGGAATGAGGAAATGATAGAAAGATAGAGACAATAAGAAAGACAGAGACACAGGATAGCTTTGGGAGGCTCCCTGGGTCAATATCCAGTTGCCTCGAGATTTAGTCCAAAGGGCTCTTTATGCAATGCCAAGGGGCAAGGCAAAAGTCCTCCCCCATCAAGATAAAAGCACAAATGTAGACCCTTCCAAACACTGGGTAACCATGCCCCTGGCCAAATCATCCCATTATGCAGCCCTGTGGGGTAAAGCAAGTCCAGATTCTCTGATCCTGAGTAATTTGGGCCCCCACACTGGGTCAGATAACCACATGTTTCTGATGAATGCCCCATTGCCCAGCCTTTGACTAGCCTTTCTGCCTTCCTGGGCCCTGACAAAAAACCTCAGTTTCAACTGTAAGTAGTTACAGAAGAGAATACATCATCCTTTGCCCCCTTCCCTTAAAGGCTGAAATGCTAAATCAAAAGGAAACTCCCTGACATAGGGAACTAAATGACTACTTATAAGGCCCATTGACATACCAGGAAAATGGGCTCAAATAGTCAATTGGTAGATTCATCAAGGCACTTGGCCTTCTTTATACAGAACCAAAGAGGTATTATAAGGCTTTAAGAAAAAAATATTATTTCTATATAAATCATTCAGGATTATAATCTGTACTGAAAAAAAAATAAAAACAGGACCTGAGATAAAATAATAACTGGTCCCCATTCTCATTTCCAGGTTCCTTCTAGATAGGAACTCTGTCAACCATCACAGGGCCTTTGGCCCTTCTGCTTCTGCTAATTGCTGTTGACTCTTATGTCAATGATGCCTTAACTAAATGATAACTCCTGTCTGAGTACCACTAAGCTGCTGATGCTAAAATCCCAAAATCAGCCCCTTGACCCATCTCAAGGATTCGGAATGGAGCCAAGCTCAAGGGGGGAATGAAGGGGTTAAACTCTCCCACTCTCATAACTGAATTTAGGTTTCAGTTCTCTGAGAAGGGTAAACCAAGTGTCTCTCTCAACAAAGGGTCATTTATCCACAACACCCTCACATTCGGGGACAAGGGAGACAGCAAACATAGAGGCCTAAGTCAGTCTTACAGTTTCTCAAGGACAAATTTTGCAGCCCCTTCTGAGTCACATCTGGACTTGTCCAAGCTTGTGCAAGTGTGTCCAAAAATAAGACTAAACCTCAGCCAATTAAAAATATACTAATATAACTGCTGCTTGCTTAACAAATCGCGTATGAGATGACCTAATTGTCCCTGAAACTCCCCTTAGCTGTGCTGAAAAGGAGCCTGCACACTCCTCTTGGGGCCATCACCATCTTGTACAGGCGAATGACCCCACATATGCTGGAATATTAATAAATGTTCTTTGCTTTTACATACTTTTTGAGTCTGGAGGCTCCTTCAGCGTTTCCTCGGACCCTTACAAGGGAACTTCTCACAAACCACAACAGCCAGGTTCACTGGGGCTAGTTCTGAGAACTACGGGAGAGGCTGGCATGCAAACATCTAGTCCCCCTCAGACAAAGAAGTTGAACTGAAAAAAGACTGAGACCAGAGCAGCTGTCTAGGAATAGTAGAAACCAGCTGAGCTGCCGGGAAGAGGTGTAGACCAGTCACTTAGAAAGGACACTCTCCAACCTGTTGAGCTGCCTGCAGGCTGTGCAGTGTGCTCCAGGTTCCCAGCTTTTGTGAGCTGTCATCTGTGCTCGGGTGGGCATTGGTGATATGGCTGTCTGTGAGTCATTTCTGCTCCTGTAAGGGACCCCTCACCCACATTCCTGTAAGGGACCCCTCACCCACATTCCTGTAAGGGACCCCTCACCCACATTCCTGTAAGGGACCCCTCACCCACATTCCTGTAAGGGACCACAGTAAACACCCATTGACCCACCAAGCTGGACTTTGGTGGGATCTGTACTTTGGTCAGTCCTGGGTTCCTTACCCCAGGTGAGTAGATGTGTGTGATGTGTTTCTCTAGGAAAAGTTTTGCTGCACAGCAGCTGCACTGGAGCGACTGCTACCATTTTAAGATGAGTGTTCATTCATTCATCTCTCTCACATGCTGAGGCTGCAGCCGGGGCCATGCACATCCTGGCAGGACAGTGTCCCTGGAGGCTAGGGAGTTAGTATTTGTTTGTCTGTTTGTTTTCCAGACAGGGTTTCTCTGTGTAGCCCTGGCTGTCCTGGAACTCACTCTGTAGCCCAGGCTGGCCTCAAATTCCAGAGATCCACCTGCCTGTGCCTCCCAGTGCTGGGATTAAAGGTGTGTGCCACCATGCCCAGTATGAGTCATTCTTAGTAAGGGAAGAGCACTGGGGTTTAGACTGTGGGGAAAGATCAGCTAGGTGAAAGCAGGAAGAGGAACAGCCAAGAATGCCATGTACCCGATGGTGGGTCAGAGAAGGGAGCAGAAGACTCTGGACTGCAGTCAGCTCTTCTCGGCAAACAAGCTGTCCCAGCAGCTGCCCTCATGGTGTGTCTACACTGTGTGGTGTGTGCACCTGTGCATGCTGTGGGAGCCTGTTGCAGGGACTCTGCCTTTGAAGAGATCAAGGCCCAGAGGTTTTCATGAAGGAGGTGCAGTAGGGAGCTGAACTTTGGGAGATGGCCGGGTAGAAGAAAGAGTGAGAGGCATGGCAGCTCAGAGGTGAGACTGAGTCTCGAGGCTTAGGGGCCTCACCACCAGGACATGGGGTGGTGCTCCATCAGTGTGTGAAGAAACAGGTAGAGGAAGAAGTGGAGAGGGGAAGGGGTACAGGAGAGGCTCTGAGGCTGGGCAGCCACAGTGGATCAGCTGCCAGTAATTGAGCCTCCATTCATCCCCAGAACTCTCAGAAGCTGATTAGCAATTGTTCCTCCAGCTTCTTGAGATGATGGGGGATTGCAGGGGTAGGTGTGGTAGGGGGAAAGGCTGGGGTATTGCAGGGGTGAGTGTGTGTATGGGAGAGCCAGGGGGTTGCAGGGGTAGGTGGCGGGGATTGCAGGGGTGAATGTGTGTATGGGAGAGGCTAGGGGGATTGCAGGAGTGTGGTGGGGGAGGCCAGGGAATTGCAGGGGTGTGTGGGAAGGGGAGGTCTGGGGATTACAGGGGTGAGTATGGGGGGGATGCTGGCTGAGCCAAGAGGCTTTGAAGGATCCATCTGCAATCTAGGAGGTGCAAGAGACCCCTCGGCTAGAGACCTAGCTCTTTAGCCCCTCTGTGCTTACCCTCTTCCCAACCAAACCTCAGGGAAATAACTGAGACCAAGAGAAGACAGAGAGAGGCCTTCAAAACTGAGTTCAGAAAGGAAGGTAAGATAGCTCAGCACGTTTCATTGCCTGAACCTGCGCGGTAGGAAGTCATGTAATCAGAGCCACTAATTTGGACCTCACCCTGGTCCCAACTGTGTCTCGAGCAAGGTGCTAAGAGAGCATCCTAGCTACCCCTGAGCATTTGGCCATGCCCCTACAGGCCCCCGAGGGAAGCATGGGCACAATGGCTCTCAAACATGGTGAAGGCACCCAAGAAGAAAACCACCCAAACAGATCCACAGCCTTAGCCAGTCATTCTGCTTCCTAGTCCTGATTCCCTGTCAGTGAAAGGGGAATTCATAGCAACGAGGAGGAGGGGCTGGGCATGGCTCTGTGTACATCTCCAGCTCCATGAAAACTGAAATGGAAAAGCAGCCTTGTGTCAGTGGTGTTTACCAAACACAAGAAAACTGGTTTTGGTGTGGTGTGTGTTTTACATTGTATTTACTGAATCCCTGCTGCCCCTAAAGGTGAGTGCTGCTCTTCCCGTGTTGTGTTGTGAGTAACCACCAAGGTCAAGGTTAAGATCCACAGATTCGAGAAAGGCCATCTGACTTGAATATGCAGTGCTTCTCAACCTGTGGGTCGTGACCCCTTTGGGGTCAAACGACCCTTTCACAGGGGTTGTGTATCAGATATCCTGCATACCAGATACCTACATTACAATTCATAACAGTAGCAAAATTACAGTTATGAAGTAGCAACAAAATAACTTTATGGTTGGGGGTCACCACACCATGAGGAACTGTATTAAAGGTCTGCAGCGTTAGGAAAGTGGAGAACCACTTATATGACCTATAGCCCAGGCCCTCACTGTGCTGTGTGGGACTGCTCCATGGCGATGTTGGCCTCCACCAGTCCTAACCCAAATGTCAGCCATTACTATCTCCCAGCATTTCAGAGTGCTGGCAGTTGTGAGCACAGTTTGGGGCTCTAGTGAGCACATTGATATTTGCTCTGGATGGAAGTAAAGGCAACACACGAGGACGTGGGCAGGGGCTTCTCAAACGCTGTCACTGTCACTGTCACTGTCACGTGAGCATGTTTTACCCCATGAGAAAGTCCCTCCCGAGGCTGCAATGGAGAGTTATGGAGAGGAGGGGATTGGTGCAGTACCCTGCTGAGTCCAGGGACACCCCAGGTCATGGAGCTGCCTGCTGCAGCATGGCCCTCAGCTGGACCCAGTGCTCACTTGCAGACTCATCTTCTAGCTCCTGCAAAAAATTCCTTGAGGAAGTGGATGGAAGGGCAGTGAGGCCAAGGAGGAAGCCAGAGGTGAAGGGACTTGTGTTAAAACAAACTGCAAGTGCCAATAACAGCTGAAGTGAGTTGTCAACATCTGTGAACTTCTCTTCAACTGCATCCTGGCACTGCAAACTTGGAAATCACCTCCACGCATGCACTGTGACACACACCCCATACACACAGTATGCTGTACACACATATGCATAACAAGTAATAAATAACTTAAAACTCTAGGTACAGGAAGAGGATTGCTAGTTGTTGCTCTCTCACTGGTCACTAGGATCCATAGGAGAGTGCTCACTTCACGTTCCCTCTCCAGGACAGAGCTGTAGGGCCAGGGAGATGACTTAGTGAGCCAGGCCTTGGTCCACAAGCATGAGGACCCGAGTTTGATGCCCAGGACCCGTGTAAACACCAAGTGTGGCAGTGCCTGTGGGGGGTGGGGTGTACATGGAGACAGGTGGATCCTTGAGGTTTGCTATCTGGCCAGTCTAGCCAAAACAGTGAGCTCCAGGTTCAATGAGAGACCCTGTCCCAAAAAATCAGGTGAAGGGTGATAGGGGAGACACCACTGTCAACCTCTGGCCTTTACACACGTGGGAAGTGCCCACACACACAAGCCAATCTGATGGTAGTAGAGACTGAACCATGGCCACTCCTTTACATGCACTGAGAGATCTCTGGTCCCCACCTCCCAGCCCCACAATCCCAGGCTAACACCCTTAACAGAGTTCTGGGGCTGAAGAGATGGCTCCGCAATAGGAAGCACCAGGGCTTTTGCAGAGGACCCCAGTTAGTTTGCAGCACCCATTCAGGCAGCTCACAACTGCCTGTAACCAGGGCGCCTGACACCCTCTTCCAGCCTCAGGCACATGCTCTAATATGCAGATACCCACACATACCACACATACACGTAAGTAAAAATCTCAGAATTAAACAGCTGAGAATGAAAAGAGAAGGCAGTAACACCATGTAGAAGCCTGCCTGGAACTGCTGTTTGACTTGGGACATCACTCTGTCTGTCTGGACCACAGTTTCCTATTTAGAGTGGGAATGCAGAACCCTGTAAACACAATTCTTCATGAAAGAAGTCAGACATTCAGAGCCATGTACAGTGTGGTTCCATCCATCAAAATGTCCACCATCGACAAGTCTAGGGCAGAGTGTAGACTCCTGGGAGGCTGGGGTGCCAGGTGGGCAGAGCGGCCTAGTAGACCCGGGGCTTCCTTTGCAGTGATAGAACATTCTGGAACTCAATGGTGATAATCATTATACAACTTGGTGGATGCACTAAAACCTGCTTCAGTGTGGGGCTTACATAGGTGAATTACACCTCTGTGTTTCCAGTTTCACAGGGATGGCTGGGCCTCTCTGGTCAGGGCTGTGAGGGAGAACAGAGGAGGGATGGGCTGTCCAGTTGGCACAGCATGGGCACCTCTGACAATCTCCAACACAGCCAGCTTGGCCCAAGTGAGTCAGGTCCCTTCCCACTCTCTTGTCTCTATGGCCAGATCTGACTGCAGCCCTCTTACCTTCAAAAGCCAAGGCCACTGCTTGCTCTGACTCTGCTCAAAGACTCTGTAGGGCAGGGCAGGGCAGGGCAGGGCAGGGCAGGGCAGGGCAGGGCAGGGCAGGGCAGGGCTGGATAGCTTCCCTGAGGATAACAGCTGATCCCTCGTCCATAGAGAGCTCAGCTCCAGGCAAACCTGTGATCCTATCCAATGTTCTTCACCTGGGTCTGTCCATTTCCTGCAGGGGCTGCACCCATTAGCTCCACCCTGAAGTTTCCATCCCAGCTGCTCCATCTTCTCTCAGAAGGTCGGAGCTGCGTAGAATGAATGGA